GAGAGCAAATGATTGTTTGTCTCGTTGGTCTCTAAGTGTCCCTGTGATGGACTGGAGACCTGTCCAGGGTGTCCCCGGCCTCTTGCACAGTGATAGCTGGACATGGACACCAGTGACCCGAAAAGGAATAAGCAGGTAAAGATAATGGATGGATGTGTTGAAGCACAGATGCATAACCTGTGTCACAAACAGGTACCAACACACATTACAGGATGAGAGTACAGAATATCAATATCAACAAGGCACAGCAAATAAAATTCAGTTACAGATTACCAGGGGTGGAAGTAACGAATTACAAATACATTACAGCAATTAAGTTGATTTTTTTGGGGGTACTTGTACATTTATGAGTATTTCTTTCAAGTGTGTAATTTTACTCATACTTAAGTACAATTTAGATCATGCAATCTACTTCGCTACTTTTAAAATCAGAAGTCGCTACTGAATGCAGCTGCAATTTGAATTAATGTTCAAACCGTTCATCTGGATCTTTGTAACCAACAAGGCTCAGAGCGTGAACGCGCCGATTACCTATGATGTAAGCAAAGGACAACTCCGTAGAGTAGAGAGTCATTTATGGACCGAAGATTTGGAGAAAAAGCCAAAATGGAGACAGAGGACAACAACAGAGAAAATGACGAGGTAAAGGCTGAGGACGAGTGTCCGTGGTCGCACCTGGAGGAATTTTTCATGAACAGAGGACGAAAAGGAAACAGGTCCAGATGTAAACTTTGTTTGATCTCTACGGTGGCAGCAGCTTACAAGACTTCAGCATCTAATCTCAAAAAACATATTGCGGTATACGAGCTTTTACAGCTACCTGTATGATGTAGATTTTTTTATTGTTTGTATGTGCGGGTTATTAGTTTGGCTAAGGATGCAAAGATCTTAAATGTTGTCACTGCCATCAGTTTGCCTGGTACTAAAATAAGACGGAGCTGCTGCGCGTCTGAGAAATGTACTTTGAATGTAGCGATTATATACAGTAAATCAAACTGAATGACTTCTACTGCAACTCAATAAAACATGAGTTGGTTAAAAAGTAATTAATACCCTGAGTAGTTTTTGAGAAGATTATTGTGAAATCATTGTGGCAATAAGCAGTGATGTGTACTTTTACTTAAGTATTTTTTATATCACCAGTACTTTTACTTGCAATTGAGTACAGTTTAAGCAGTGTAACAGTACTTGCACTTGAGTACAAATTTTCAGTACTCTTTCCACCTCTGCTGATTACATGCCAATAATATAACTGGAAATGAAATGGACCCACACTGCCCTAAATAACTCATTTAGATCAGTAGCAGAAATGTTAAAGAACATGGAGTGTTGCGTCACCTTGACAAAAAAAATTAATAAAATAAAACAATTAAAACCCAATCATGCTCCCGTTTGGCTTCTTCTGCTCAGAACTTTTTAATTGAGCCTATTCTGCCTCCACATGATTTTATCACTGATTTTAGTTGATTTTATCACTGATTTTAGTTGATTTTATCACTGATTTTAGTTGATTTTATCACTGATTTTAGTTGCACTTTGTAGCACTTTGAGATTTTTGTTAATGAAAAGTGGGTTACAAATTAAATTCATTATTATTATTATTAATAACTTAGACAAGACGACAGTGAGTATGTCAGGTTGGCAGTTACAGAGCACAAAGCCTGCAATGCTTAAAAGTCCACGTGTCGTCAAACTGTTGTTCATGACGGATATTAAACACTTTTAATTTACAACACGAGAGGTAGAGTTGGCATAAAAATAAATAAAAATAAAAATTGCTTATGCAGATAGGTTCACATAGCAGAGCTGATGTCACTCCACCCCCATGAGCACTTGCCACACAGGTTTCTATAAGTAAAGATGTCTGCCTGTGTCTGTGGATGGGGGTGTTGAGGGGTGTAATGTGAACCAGGCTTCAAAATGGGTGTGGTCTGAACTAAATGAGGCAAAAACTAGACTGAGCGGGACATCCAGAGGAAGGAGCGCTGCAAGAATGAAAACAAGCAACAACAAGTTCGTTCACTGCAGACACTAACCCATATTCCTTCACATTCAGTCTAGTTTAAACTCATAAGACATTAGCTCTGATTGAAGAAGTCTTTCAGATGAAAGACAAAACGTTCCTATAATTTTTTTTTGTGTTTTTTGAAACCGTCCAGAGGACCAGACTTAATTTTTTTACACATTAGCTCTGTTGTTTCTGCAGCTTTAAGCTACATTTATATGGGAACTCATCGGTGCAGCAACTGGAGAACCTGAGCGCTAACAGTCACTGACGATTCAAAGATGGCCTCCATCATTAAAATATTGTGATGCTTTTGCTTTAAACTCTACATTTGGTTCATGCTAAATTATACTTTCCCAGCCTCTTCATTAAACCATCTGTAGCTAATATCAGTTTTAGATATAAAAGTTCTGTTTACAACTTATAAATGATTTTAGCATGCTTAAACTATCTGTTTAGCAGTTAATCATCAACAGGCAATGTTAAAAAGCAGAATTTAAATCTGGGAGGCCAGGCTGGTATTTATCTTTCTTCAAATATTTGCCCTGTTTCAACATAGCTGAGCTCTCTGTGCTGCACCAACCAGATAGACAGGCAACAGAAAGGGCCGTGCTCTGGGGTTAAGTCCAAGTTTAAACCCAGTGCACAAACGCATTGGTCTAAATAAATAAACTCTCCCACCAAAAGGTATATCACTCACATGTGCCTAGTACTGCGATCATGTTGTAGCTAAGTTACAAAGTTAACTTTTGTTTTTGGGATTACAAATATTTTCTTTCCTCTTTTTCTGTCTGCATTGACTCTATACCAGCATTCTTTAGTTTTGTCTGTGAGGCCAAGACCATGTGCATACGTGTGTGTTTTCTCTGTGCATGTGCAGCGCGTAAAACACAAGCTAAAAAGAGATAGAGAGTGGATGTTGGGGAAATGACTTGGTTTGGGTGTGACCTGCTCAGCTATGCACTGGTGATCATGTGAGACCTGTTCTAATTATATGCTTCTCAAGAAGGTCGATCCACTCTCATGGGCAAGAAGCCCGTGCACATGTCCAAGAGGGTGCATCGACGTGTGCGCAAGACTTGTAAAGGAGAGCAATACGGCTTCGTGTAACGCAAACCATCAGAGAGTTTGTCCCATTTCAGCTGTTTAATCTGTTTTAAAGTAAAGTAGGACAACCGATCTAGTCAGTGAATGTTTGTAGATCTGTGCAACTGGGACGCTGTAACAACGAATGGTTCTGTACATTTCCGTTTTAGGTCTCATCTGCTATCTATGCATTGACAAGAAATAAAGAATATTCAGTTTCTGATTTCCACTGTCCTTTATTTGCTTGTGTTGTTTCCGCTGTGGGGTTTTTAGAGCTCTGCTCTGCTTTTTATTACCAGAGAGGAAAAAAAAAAATGGAACAAGCTGTTAAAAAAAGCATCACCCATCTCCATTTATACACAAGACCCACTGAAAATCAGTCCAAACTACTAAATGAAGCCCTATGGGTCTTTCAAATAGCTACCAGACATCTCTTAACTATTTTCTGTTGGTGACCTCTACCTGGAAGAGGATGATGATCGAAACCCATCTTAATGTATCGGTATCCTTCGATCTGATGGTAAGAGCTCCACTTTTCTGTCAATATGCTTCAATGGCCGACAAGTGTAGTAGAACTGAGGGGATACTGACCTCCAAACATTTAGATGTTTCAAACTCAAGTTTTCATATCAGGTTTAGTTCAGCAGAATGATTCCAGATTCTTTCTTTTCTTGAGTACTGGCCCAACATGCCTGCTGCTATTTATAACGTTTTATTCCAGCGATTCATTTCTGGGAACACGTCAGCATTACCACAGCACAGTAAGATGGGAAAACAAATTACTTCCTGTAAATCATTAGAACATGCCTCATCAGAAACATTGCAAACTTATTGTGGCAATAAGTAGTGATGTGGTCGAAACTATGAAAGCTGCAAGGAAATGTACAGAAAATTTTGGAAACACATCATTCATTTCTATTAATTCACAAAAAGAGTTCGGGTGGGCTTCACTGTTTTTGTGTGTCCAGTTTTCTCTTTAAACATGGTATTTTGTAACTACTTAAACATCTTGTCTTTAATCCTAACCAACGTAAAGCACACAATGACCACAAGTCGCCAGTGTGCACGGGTAAAATAAAAACAGAAGGGGCAGCACATACAGCCAAACCTTTGTGTGCATGTGTGTGTCATTACTGGAAACTTTGGGTTGAAGATCTTGAGCTCTGACTGAAAGAGCAATTGTGAAGAGAGGATGACCAAAAAAAAGTAATGCCTACTTTTTTTTTGCTACTAGCTAAAAATTAAATATTACTGAATAGTTTCCAAAATTTACCCCCAACAGTGCTCAGAACCACAAACATGAACAGAGATACTCACACAAACCCCCCCCCGTGGCTGCCCTTAGGCTTGTGCACAGGAAGTGGTTTGAGTGAGAGCTCCATGGTGATGCTATCACCTCGCTCCTTTTTAGCCGTTAAAATCTATAGGAACCTGAGCACTTGTCAACTACTGGTAATTCATCTGCTTTATCCTAAAAGCTGCATAACTGCAATGCTCGTTCTTTCAAATTGTGTGCTGCAGAAACTCTAACTGTATTTATGTAGATTGCCATGTATCAGAAATAAGAAAATAAATAAAAACTGTGAACAATAAAACGGACAGTCAAACACGGATCAGATGTGGACTGTTTTAGAAATGTTTTATGCAAAATATCAGACTACCACTTCCTGAATTTCTGAAGATGCAACTCCCTCCTGGCTTTTGATCGCACTAGTCACATGACCAGAATAAGTAGGGCTAACCAAAGCACATGTTGTGGCCAGATGTAGCACTCTTCACATGCTATTTTCATTTAGCAACTTGCTTTAGTTCCTCAAACTGTCTTTGCTCCGTCTCCTACGTGTGATCTTTCTCACTGCCTGAGACACGACCTCGTTACTTCCTTCGCACCAATTTTTTTTCCCCTTACCTTTAGCGAGTCGAAGCATGCGATCACCCGCCCGTTGTCCACCTGGCAGCTTTTAGCTGGATGAGCAAACTTGCACTCCTGGTCGGAGCGCGAGCAGGTGCCCCTCTGAAACTCCCGGCATACTTCCAGTGTCAGCCACTTTGTGTCACGGATATGTGCTATGTTCATTGCCATGGCAACGCTTTAGCAAAAGTATCCCTCGAAGAGATGTGTTCAATTGTGAATTTAGTACTTATAGTGTTTTATTCCACAACTTCAGAGTCCTTTTTGATTATTTTTCTGTTGTTGTCGTTATTGTCTATGATATGATGAAATAGAACATAAAAAAAAAAACAAGTTTCAGTAGATTGAGAGAGCTCCTTTTGAAAAGTGAAATGTTGTAGGACAATGTTTGCTGTAGATGCTAATGAGTCATTTTCCTGATCAAACTCTTGTTACTTAATCCAGAAAAAAAAAACTTAACCAAACAAGTTGTCCGTTTTGTCTTGACGTGTCTTTCAACCTGTTTATTGCTTACTCTCATCTACAACAGAGAGCCCTCTGGTTAGGTGTGGTGAAGCAGGCAACCAAGGTGACAGTCTGGGTATAGTCTGCTTCAGAAAGGTTAAGGACACTGAGGACTGAGCGCAGGCTTCAAGGGTCAAAGGCGAAGGTGAAAGGCAAGGTGTGTGAGATGCTGTGTGGGCCCGGTGGTGTGCTGGGCTGCAGGGGTAAGGCTGGTCAGCTGGTGGTGAGCAGCAGCGGCCGTCCGGTGAGGAAAGCTGTGGCTGGGGCCCAGCTGGGTGCAGTGAATGGCGACGGTGGAGCGAGGACGTCTGGGTCGGAGCGTAGGCAGCGAGAAGGGTGTGGCTGCTGTCCTTTTATTCGTATTACTGTGGCAGCAAGCGAGCGAGCAAGGGGGGGAGGGTGGAGCTTCAGCTGTAGAAGCAGGTCAAAGCTGCAGCAGACATCAGGGAAGGCACTTCCTCTGTGAAGAGAGTGAGATAGAATGGGGAGAAAGACAGATTAGTCTAATGACTCATAAAAACACTAATGCTTTTATTTCCTTCTCTTGCATCTTTCAGAAGTTTCTTGTATGCTGCATCTTTTCAGTTGTGCAACTGCAACACTGCAGCTGTGGGAATGAGGAATATGTATAAATGTTAAAAATGCAGTGTGTCAGCTAAAACAAATAAAACTTTCACCCTGCCCTGTGCCCTAAACACACACATTGCACGCACACGCTCATCACACCACAGCACTCATACTCACACACAAAAACGCACAATGCTGCTATTCACAACTTTCCGCCTCTTCTGAGCGAAGCAGGAGAAAATCAGATCAAATCCTGTATCGCTTGCAGTCCAGTAAAGCAATGCTGGCCATTATTAATGCATTTAGAGGTGAAAGGAGGGAAGAGAGTGGAAAGCCAGGGGAAGTTGAGGCAGGGCATGAGGGAGAAGAGTTTAGTCATTTCCTTTCTTGTGAAGTCTTGCGAGAGTAGGGACCAATGAGAGCTAGCCTGAGTTGCAGCAACATTCTGGGCTGAGGGCCAGGTGAGGGCAGGGGAGGAGCTAACAGGAGGCTAACCTGCCTGCTGCTGGAGAAACACACGGGCTGAAATTATCACCCTGTTTCACAGTTCCACGGCTACTTGCTGTCTCATAAACACATAATAAATCAATCTGTCATCCAGAAATTCATAACAGATCCAGTTAAGTCTTCCTCGGAGAAAGTTTTGAAAGTCGAAAAAATGATGCAGAATTTACAATCACACGAAAGTGTCTATTATTATTATTATTATGATTTTGTTATGCCTCCAGTGTTATGTATTTTTAGTGCTGAGGGAATTGGCATGATTAGGCTCCCAGAGGCCAATTCTGCTCTTATCACACAGACGGCATGAGTCACCACACCCTTGTAGGGGTAATCGCTTTTCTCTGGAAGACATGTGCACCTTTAGCAGCTAGCTCCTGCTAACTGCACTGCACTGCAACACCGTGTTTCAGCAGCCTGCAGCAGCACAGCTGAAGCCGGTGTGTCCCAGCAACATGGATAGGTCATGTGTTTAGAGAGAAAGACAGAGAGGAAGTGCAGGAGTAAACTCTTTGTGTTCACCTTGAACGACCCTTAAAAGCGCACTACTGCTAGAGACGACCTTTGGAGCCGAAGCGCAAATGTATGCAAATGCTACAACTGTCCTACTCTGCACGTACCAGGGTACAGATACACATCAGTTGCAACGCTGTGTTTAGTAAAAACTATTTTCATTTCAGTGTTAGCCATTGTCAGAGTCTGACATTCTAATAAAGCTGCCATTTCATTTAATGAGAAGTAATGCTCCTTGTCAGTTTAATCGCCGTTTCATGTTGAAAACGTTTTTCGACTCAACGTCTTGTTCTGAAACATGCCATGCTTTTGTGTACACAACCAGGGGCATGTTTCTGTTCCCATGAACTCTGTTTACATCATTTCATCTTTAACCCTGTGAAAAGTCAGCCGTGCCTGATACTTGTGATTTATCCTGACATCCCTGGGACCTCTAGGTTTCAGATCGCATAAAGTTGACGCTACTTGTTTTGCTGCAGAACAGCTCCAGTCTGACTGGGCACACATTTTGTCACACAAGTACACGCTGCGGCTTTTACCGAACAACAGCCACAGCTGGACGCTATTAATGAGGTGAAACGGAGGCGTCTATTTAAAGATTTCCTTAAATGAAGGCGCCAGTGTTGGGACTTGACGAATGAAAAACTGATGCCCTCTGAAATCTGTTGCAATCAGTTTCCATGGTTTCTTTTAGAAAGTGGTGCATATCTGTGGCGGTGCAGTGTGGTAATGTGCCTGAGTGATGAGGGCTCTTTATGATTCATCATGTCTGGACAGGAACATCCGTGCTCCATTGATTTCTTCATCTGTGGTCTTCCCTGTTGCATGCCCCCTTACTCTAATCAGCTCCCATTTTACCAGTTGGTGCCCCTTTTTACTTTTTATTTTACTTACATTACTGAATGTTCAATCTAAACTCCTTTATTCAGCATTATACTCATCTTGTTTTTGACTTATTTGATCTTTAGGTTATCCATATGTGACTGTCTGGCGTACACCATCGTCCAGCATCCTCAGCAACACTCCCACAGCCTCCAAGGTCTTGCAAGCTGGTGCAAGGTCAATCACAGCAGAAGAAGGGACTGGCGAGCGAGAGCAAACCGGAGAGACTGCATGTATCCTATTGGCCTTTAGAACACGTGGTAGAAATCATGCCAGGTTGCCAAAAGAAGTCAACACATTGCCAACAGCTCACAGTCATGTGACACCAACAAATGACTTAACGGAATACGTGTTATCTGATATGAAAACCAAGTCTGTACACCTTTTTACTTTCTCTTGGTTCTGAGAGTTTATACAAATTTGCTTTCAGTGGCAAATGATCTTCCAGCAGCACAAAACCTTGCAAGTGATTTTGCTCAGAGCTAAACGATGAAGGTTTTCCGAGGACAAAGAGTTGTTTTGTTACGAAGACATGCCTCAACTTTTAAAAACGCTGCAGCTTTCCAAGTATAAGAAAACACAAGTGGGTGTTGCAGTAATAATGTTATTTCAATTGGGTGATAAAAAAAAGAAGGTGTGTTTCAAAGTTATGATAAGACTTCCTGAAAACAGAAAGAATGGCACAAGAGTGCCATAAGCAGAGATAAGAGTATGTTAAAGTTTGACACGTCAGGTTTAATTGGCGGGAAGCGAGTCTTTCACCAGTCTCAGTTTATCAATCTGTTTTATTTTACCTGCTTTTTGTTCAGGTTGTGAGGGAGCTGGTGCCCACCTCCAGAAGACACTGCGAGAGGTGGGGTACAAGGTCGCAAGTCCACTGCAGTGCCACATAGACAGAAACGAGACAACCAACCATTCAAGGTCTCACACAAAGAGACATTTTAGAGTTAATCTCAAAATATATATTTTACTATTTTATGGAAAGTGATTCAGCTTCTTACCCAATTTTTTTATGGTTTTATGGTCTTTCTCTTGCATGCAAAAAATTCTCCAAGTTCCAGAAAAATTGGTTTGGGAATGTTGGTGTCATACTGGAAATAAACAGACAAACCAGCAAATCCCACTGTTCACAGCTCTACTTATTACTAATACTGTACTTATTTTACTTTTGACTGCAGAGACAAATACATTACTGCTTTTCAATAAAAGGGAGTAGTTTCAGCATTTTGACTAAGGTGGAGTCAGGGTGACAGTTTGCTGATACAGACCATCATGGTGGACAAAGCAGATAGAAATGCACTCCTGGCCTTCCAGCTTGTAATGCAGAGTGCTCAGAAAATAACATGCTGATATTGTCCTCACACATACACTCTGGTGCATTTATTGATAAATTAATACTTGTATGTGTATATTTATTGGCTGTCTCTTGTGTCTCTTGATATATTTTAAAGTGTTACATGAATATGGAAACTATAAGCAGATAATACATTACGGCTATTTTAATGCATAATCATCTGAGCATTGTGAATTTCTTGCGACTCTTTTAATGTATTTTGGTTTTAATCCTAAGACTGTCCACATTGGATATATACTAAATAAAACATGAATTAAAATTAAAATAGAAAAAAATATATGTATATTTTTAACCATTAATTAAATAAATTTAAAATTGAAAGCCACAGTCCACAGAGCTCAATTAAGAAAAAAATATCTTATTTTGAGTTGACATTTTATCTACAGGTAGTCATTTTTAATTTTTTAATGTCGTTTTCATTGCCATAGCGCTATTAGCTCATCTCAACTTTAGTATTACTGACTTATTTGTCCTTCAATTATATAATTGGGCTCTGAAAGTGCAGCTTGAGCTAGGAATGCAAAACAAACAATGGCTATTGATTCCACTTAGAGCAAACCTCTAGGACAATGCGATCTCTTGTTTAGCATACACAGACAGAGTGATGCACGCGCACAAGCACACACAGGACAACACACTGACGACATGCAAAAATGCTAAACTTCGCAAAAACACAAACCTCCGTCTGTCCGAACACGAAGTATTCCTAGGATGTGACTATCTCCATCTGTGTGCAACACTGAACCTTTGTGTGCACATATTAGGTGCAAACATGTGATAAAATGAACATTGAGGATAATAAATGACCTAGATAGGGTAAATTACGAATGTAAGACATTTGCAACAGGTCATAACAAGTAAAGAAAGATCCAATCAATACAAGCAAAAGGAGCTAGAAAGAACACGTTTTAAACTTGTAGGTCTGCACACCAGATAGAGTATCAGCAAACTGAACATCTGCATAACATTCTGAAAAAGTTCATTAGAGGTAAACGTAATTGAATAAAAATTAAGTTCAATTCTTTTTAATCTAACGTGGAACCCAAGAACTGCTATTTATGCTCACAACTCTCGTGCACATTAAAACCACATTTAGGTCGTTTGTCTGTGTATAAAATGCTAATGTAAACACCTAAAGGGAAACATTACCTACTGCACTAGTTGTTAATAGTTTTTCAACGTATTAAGTGAGCCAATTCCACAAAAATGAGTCAGTGTGAATGCACACACACACCTACACCTGCAAGCTTTGACTAAATTGAGGCAGGTCTGTTCACAGTGATAAAAACAAAAGGTTAGATTTTTAGGTTACTTTAAAAGTGGTTTGAGAATCAGATATGATGGGTGCATTTGGTTTGTTTGTTTGTTTTAGCTTTTAGCTTAGCCTCTACTTTCTAGATGAGGAGTTTGAAGTTAATATGGTGCTGAAGTGAAGGAAAACAAACACCAGCTTATGTTGACGAGTGTATATCTGTGCATTTTCTTTAAGGAATATGGACTTGATGACAAACAGCTTCAAAATATTCTCGTGTTGCGCATTAGCGCTGCTGTGTAATCAAGTTAAAGGTTGCCACTGGCTTTAAAATACAATTTGTTCAGTCACAAGCCTGAACATTATCAAGCGTTGATAAGAGCAGAAACAGATGGGTATCATGTCAGGTTAAAGACTTAATTATTACAGGAGTAACAAAAAGCTGTGCTTCTGACAGCTGTTCAAGTCAATTAATATTAGCTTAGCAAGGACTTGTGTTAAGTGGGGGATGTTTTACTCAACCAAAGCTGTGAGAAACCAACACTCAGAAGGGATGAGATGTGGCCATAACATCACAGGAACGACCAAAGGATTCCTCACGTAATAAAGGCTTAACTTGTCAGTGCAGACTCAAGCATGCACGTAATCCTGTCTGTAGGGCAGATGTGAAATCAGGGGCAACACACATAAGCAGACAGCGCCACACTCCATATGTCTATACATCGACACAAAGAGATAATGTAATCTTCACCTGCTATAGTCACGCCGACCGAACCAAAAATGTGCACAGATGTTGGTTAGATAGCGATCCACAGTCCACCTGCAGCAGTTTGTTTATGAACTCCTCCATAGAACATACCACACATCTGTCTGCATTTTATCTATGTACATACAAGGGTTGTGTGTGCACTACTGTCTGAGCCACCATGAGCCCAACTCAGTCACAACAACAACATTCCTCACCATTGCCCCAACCACGGATACACCACCAAGAGGAAACCCAGAGAGGCGAGGAGGAGGGCAGAGATGGTGAGGAGAGAGACAAAGAGGTAAAAACGTGAAATGGAGGATAAAGGTCGCGTCTGTGGCCATCCTCCATCTTTCATACATCTGTTTATATTTGTCTTTAATTTAGCAGAGATGTATCTAGCTGTTGTTCAGTTTTGGACTCAGAAAGAGGAAGCGCTGGCTAAACACTTCCTTTTCTTTCAATAACTAATTTTGAGTTTGAGACATTTGTACAGTGCAAATGAACGGCAGCACTTCGGATATGTTTATATCAGATCGACTTGCTAAAACAGAAGGAAAAGTTTAACGAACAAAAGAATAAAACACCACGTGAAAAATCTCAAACCTTTGTCCAAAGTCAAAATAAAATATGACGCAACTTACTTTTATTCCCGTTTGAACATCAGCTTGTAAAAATCCCTCCATTTACTGGATTTCCTTCTTGTGTGCCTTCCCTTTTAAAACTTTCTTCCTCTTTTTGGTTACTCCCCCCTCTGTCAGATGCATGCAAACACTCGCTCAGCCAGACATATACACTAACACACACACACACACACTCCCACAGACAGAGTCAACCCCTTTAACACACTCTCCTCCTGCGACCCGAAATGCTTGGCAAGACTCTACTGTACTGAAATACTGCTCGCCATATAAGGTAGCAGTAGCTTCACATGACACGCACAATTTACATACACAGGGATGGGAGTTCGCCTCACACACATTATAAAAACACACACATGTAAAGCCATGCTTCCCACCTTTAGGCTGACGCAGCAAGAGGGGGGGGGGACGCTTGAGGAGATATTTTTATTTATTTTTTAACAATCCTGTGTTTACCGAGCCCCGCAGGATAACTCCCAACATGCCCAGTGTTGAGTCAGATAAAGGGAATGAAAGATGAGTGGGCGATCTATTGATCCTCTTCGCTGCTTCCTGGAAAAACCACGGCCCTCCAAACACACACTAGCAATTTCTTTTCTTGCTAACTAGCACTACCCTCAGGAAGAACTTATTGTGCGACTGCCTGCTTTGAGTCAAGAATGTGTTTATCAGTGTTTGTGTGATCGTATCAATGAGACAAGCTATGACAAATAGAAGTTACCCCTGTGGTCCTGAACACACACACACACACATATATATATATATATATAAATATACAGCAGACACTAAGGCAAAAAGTCTCCATATTTCTCTATCCACTGCATGGTCTCTTACTTTAAGAGAAGACAGAAGCTCAGACAGGAGGAAATGTCTAAACAGACTGAGACAGGGTGGACGGTTATTAACCAGGCTCTTACCTCTCACATAGCTCTCCAGTTAGTGTGCGTGGGCATCCGCGTGTCGACTGGCTCTGTATGTTTATGCGTGTGCTCAGACAGGCCGCGACAGCAGACCCTTAGGCACCAGCTGGACCATTCTCAGGCAGGCAGGCAGAACACAACAAGGCAGAGCGACTGGCAGAGGAGAGGCAAGCGAGGGAGCGCGTGAATCAGCAGCGAATGAGTAAAGGAGCTGTGCAGAGCAGAGCACCAACAGTGAGAGAGAGAGAGAGAGAGAGAGAGAGAGAGAGAGAGAGAGGAGGAGTGTGTGTGTGTTGCAGTGTTGGCTGTGTGCGCAAGTGTGTCCCCTCCCCAGCCTCTTAAAGTGTCTGAGCTGGGCTGTGTAGAGCTGTGCTGAGACGGGCTGGGCTGTGTCTTTACTGGTTCCCCAGCCTCTGGATCGTCTGTCTGCTGCAGGGAAGTGCTGCTCGCTGGGCGGCAGTAGCAACAGCTGTGGAGGAGGAGGGGGGAGAAAGAGAAGGAGGGAGCTGTGACTGCACTGAGCATACAGATCCTGCAGTTCCCTCTCCCTCCTTCTCATCTCTCTAAAAGATGATCACGCCCCCCTTAAAACAACACCAGGAAGCATGAGCTCAGTTACAGCACAACTACCCTCGTCTTTCCACAGTAGCTAAAAGCAAAGCGGAAAGGGGCGGGCAGGAATAAAAAATAAATTAAAAAAAGTAACTGGGGAAAACATAACAGGATGTAAGAAGTAACAAGATAAAAAAAAAATAAGGGAAACCATGCGGAGTGACGAAGAGCATTGGAAGATTTAAAAAACATTTGAAAGTGAAGCTGGAAACGAACTCAGACTGAAACATGTGAAGGACGGGTGTTAAAAAGGCGAGGACGAAAATGGCATTTGGAAAGAATGAATAGGTGAAGGGGTGTGGAAGGAACAAGTGTGGAAAGATTTACAGAAGTGTGTGACAGGTTAGGTCTGCCTTCTGTTCGGCTCCATTCTCTCCCCTTCATACTGATTTCTGCTTTAGCTCAGCCTCACAGCAGCTCATACCAACATTAAACCACTACTACTGTAATACCTATTGTAATACCACGTAGTATAAAAATTGAATGTTTGTGACTAAAGAGTACAAATCAACACAGTATGTCACACTTCATTAAAATCTGAATGAGAAAATACAAAAGCAACAGCCGATACCAACTCTGCTGTTTTGCTGTTGACTCAAGGATTTTGGCGTCTCAAACCCCCGCAGTCAGAGAAAAGACGAGAAACTATAGCATACTCCAAATATCAGATGTGGACTTGATGCTGCAATATCCGGTAGCTCAAAAGAAGTAGTGGAACAGGCATGTGAGGAATCCTTAAAGATTTTCATCTGTGAGAGGAGTTTTGTTTCTGATCATAAATAATGTCTATAACTCATCTCACTAAATTCAAATATTAAAAAAACAAGTTATTACTTGAAGGTCAGTTCTACTTGACTGGTGACTAGTTTCAGATTTGTGAGCTGTTGTTGGGACGCGCACGCTCTGAGAGTCATTAAAGTCACATGTGAGCCACTGACCCAAACATCCGTTGTGTGGGTCATTTAGGTCGATGTCACTTGCGAGTTTAAAACATACACCACCAAAATATCAGATGTTTTAGTCACATGTTTCATGCAACATCAAAGCTTCTCTATATGTGATCATTTAGAGCTGAACAAGACTTTTAAATGAGCGACAAACCGTGTTCAAAAGCAAGGCATGATATTCAGTTTCCTTCTCTTCAAGCAGTCAGAGCTATTACAGTAGTCCCGATCGCTACTTTGCGGACTCGCTCTTTTGCGATTTTTCAAAGTAAGATTGTACAGGATACATGATTGTCAACTTTAATATTACTCCCGTGATTGGGACAGTAACTGAATAAAGTACTATATAGTAAAAAGTTAATGAAAAATAAAACACTTAGGACAGGCGCTGCCATTTTCTAGTTTTTTTTCTCTTTAAGCCTACATTGTATCCCCACTCATAATGACTACATTTCCCAGAAGGCAACAGGGCCCCGCCCAGAAGCCTTGTTGCCTTCTGCTGAAATACTAGAGGGAAGTTTTGATCTGATTGGAAAAAGTTTGGCACTTATTACAGTGACTTGGGTGCCCAGCGGATGCAGAGAGCCACACGGAACCCACAGAACCGGACCAGAACCGGACATCCAGACCCATCAATGAATCTGAGAGCTGCTAGCTGGCCCACGAGGACTTTCGAGCGGGACGCATACTGTCAAATGTCTGGTGCTCCATCCGGAGTCCACCGGAACTTTTTCTATCTCTCAGACCACTTAATCGGACCACCAGTCCTGTGCCGGCCACCCCCCCAAAAAAAAGAAAAAGAAATGCGCTTCAGCACTCAAGGGCTGCACAGTACCGGAGCAGAAACAGAAAACCAGACCCATCTGTGAATCTGAGAGCGGGTAGCCAGCCCATGAGGACCTCCGAGCGGGGACGCTGGTAAATAAATTTTAGTAGCTACATATAAGCATGTTGTTAAAATTAGTTGGTTTAAGA